CTAAGGAGATTTCCCTCACAGTTCAGGTCCTTGGGGCCGGCACGGAACATCCTTCACGATATGTCCAGCCGGCAGCACTTTTTGTTGAACCAACGAGGGTTGCCTCATCTCGTGGGCTGAAGAAAATCAGGCTGGTTTCAACAGCTGTGGCCCATAGACACAGCACCCCACCAAAGAGGTAAGTCACAAATAACATGGTCAACCAACAGGTGAAACTGGCTGTTGCTCACCACGTGATCGCCTGCCAACAATGGAAATATGGAGAAAACGCGTCTTGCTAGTGTGTGGTAGGTTGGCAACAATCAGTTCCAAAAGCTGGAAAGGTCACTTCACATTCGGCCAAAAGTTGAGAAATCAGCTTTCTCTGGCCAGGCAGGGAGGGTTCCGGAGGGTTCAAAGGGGGCTCCGCGGCTGTCGGGGATACCACCAGATTTTTCCCAAGTTGCCAAACGGCTTGACGTTGCCACCTGGAAAAGCTCCAACTCAGGTTGAGAAACATTCAAACCATTTCCAGGAGCCTACGGCATTTCCCCATCTGCAGAGTCCCCCGGGCAACCGGGTGTTCACTGGGTCTGGAACGACTGAACCACTTGTCATCTTTGGCTTCCTTGTAGGACCTTGAAGGTGGAGTTGGAGTCGGGTGGGCTGGAGTGGAGTTGAAGCACCCAGTTTTCGCTGTTGAGAGTTCTCATTCCGAGTTGCCAGAGCGGCTATGGTGGCAATGTCGCTGTTGAAGAAGGTCTTTTCCCCCATAGGTCCTGAAAAGAAAATCCCATGGAAGATGGGCCTAGAGGTGAAAATTACCATTGGTTCTCCCACATATCTTGGGCAAACGGCTATTTGACGCCGGTAAGCCAAACAAACTTTGTTGAGCAGGCAAAAGTTGAAACAAGAGCAACCATGAAACCATGACTGTTGTTTTTAAAGAATATGTGGGTTGTCTTTTGCTCCCCACTTCCATACTTGTAATAACATTTTGGGAAGCTGTAGACGTAACAATCAACCTACTGGAAATAGCGAGCTCGTTTCACCCGTGCCATATCCCAGGCGGTCCCTTGCCTGGTGCCCTTTTGGAATAGATGGTTCCACTGGTGCATTGGAACCAAACTATAAACAATGGAACCGTAACCTATCTATGTTCAGCCAACTTACCTAGGATAGCTATGGTCCCTTCATTTTCCATCAGTTTCAAAAACATGTTGGGAAAGGCCTACTGTGACACATCAGAATGAGTTGACACCGCTTGATATGCTCTTTTCACACGAATCCTTGTAAAGCTTCTAGCCCGGTTGGCGGTGTATCTCAAGGTAAAATCCATCCCTAACACCAACTTAGTAAGCCGTGGGCTGCTCGTTCGTGGGGAAGGGTCCTTTGTGGGCGCGCACCCTCTTCCCTACCTTGCCGTCTGCTGCTTAGTAGGGAATGAGGGAAGAACCTGACAAACTGCTCCGTGTAGGGGATCTCTAGATGCATTCCGAACACCTCTCAAACGATTCTGTGAGAACCAGCCAGATTGTTGAAGGCTTGGTTGGCAAAGGCTCGACATTTCATTAGGCTTTTGAACGCCCACAAAAGCCAAACAAACACAACTAGGTCCTCCAATAGAGAGAGAAGAATAACGGTACTCCTTTTTTTTTCTGTAGTCTATTTTAGTAGGGGAACCCTCCCCCAAAAAAAGTTTCGGTCAAAGGGCACTACTGGGGGACCAAGACAAACCACATCCCGAACATGAGCCAAACTATATCCCAAGCAAATGGCTCGGAGTACAACCTTTCGCGCGCCTACCATTCGCCAGATCAAGCCGATGATCAGCTGGACCGCGCACACCAGCAGGCCGATGGGCGCAAGATTCCCTTCCAGCGTACACTCCTCAGGTGAGCGAGCCGCAAACAAAATGGGTACGGGTCAAAATAGGGAAGCCCCAAAAAATGATGCTTCTCCTTTTGGTCTTTCAACCGGGAAAAAGGGAAATCTCAAAAACGAACACACACACACACACACAGACACACAAAATTATCCAGGTTGCCCCGAAAGGACATGGGACTGTGTGGGACTGTCAGGGACGCGCGTGTCAACTGCCCCTTTACACATCGCCAAGGTGATACTTCAAGGCAAAATATCTGAACTGAACTGGGAAGGTGTCAACCGAGGTTCACAATGGAGAAGCTCATAGGATGCCTCGGGGTTTCAGAAATGACTGCCCAACTAAAATGCCCAACTCCACTAAAAGACATCTATCTCAGTCCATGTGGGTGTTTTTGGGGTATGTCAGTATGTCCTCTTCTTCAGGGTACCCCTTTAGCGGTTTTGCCCAAAAAACATGTCCAAAAACTTTGCCTTTGCCACTAAAATGGCAACCAACCCCAAAAGCTTAAAGTCCAACTCGGGGAGTGGTCCGAACCTGCCCCCGCCCCACATCCGCGCCTCGCAGGACTTGGTCCTCCACTGGTACCCCGCCTGCAGAGCCGGGCAGTGGCGTTGACCCATAACCCAAAGGCCCAGCCGGGTGGCCAGGCGGACATGAGCTTTCCCCTTCTTCTTTTTTTTCTTCTATTCCCCATAAACTTGACTGGACATTCTTCAAGCTCCGGACCCTAGGCGGACTCTTCCCAAACTAGCTGGCGGGCAAAACAACCGCAGCTATGAGATAACAAGAACTCAAGCTACCAGCAACCCAGGGGAACACCAGAGTTCAACCAGAATGAAACTAGAGGCACCAAGGTTTGAACTGCAGACTCAATGCCAAATGCATGGAGCCAAATCCCCCGAATGCAGGGCTCTCTGGATTCTTTGAGGTGCAACTAACTTGAGCCCAATGGGAGGTGAAAGGGACATCGCGTGACTGCTTCGGTTGAAAATGCTCCCAATGAAACAAGCCTAAAGGACATCGAATCCCTTTAGTCCACTTCCAGTGCACATGGGAAAGGAATGCTTGAACAACACATACTGGAGGACTGGGACTTTGCATTCCGCGAGTGGTTTTGAAACAAACAACACCTCAACTTTAGTGACACTCTCTATCCCAAACCTGCACAAGTGCCATTCACATCTTCGTGTTGCCCAAATGGGTCCGTCTTTTATTGATAGCACCTTCTTGTGCTTGTTGGTTTCTCAATGCACATTCAAAGAGACACCCACGATCTTTTGGGGTGCAAACTCCATTTTAACACAGACCCACATGGGCCATAATTTCAATTGGAGACCCTTTGGTGGACATCAAATTCGGTGATTCATGCCCAGCAACCCTTTTTGAGGTGTTTCCAACTCTTAACGTTCATGGCCATATTCCCCTCCAAAAGTGGTCTGATTCCAACCACATTTCACCCAGACCTGGACACCCCCAATATTCTCAACATGCAAGCCCAGGCGCATCTTTTTCTTCACAAAAACCATCAGCCCCCCCTTCCTTTTTCCCTCCTTCTAAAAACCCTCCCTGTTTCGACCGCCCCGACGTTTTTCCCACCCCAAGTCCATTTCCCCCGCGGCGTACCTCGCAGCGGCTGCAGGCGAGCCCCGTCTGGCGCTCCGGGCAGGTGCCCAGCGCCCGTTGCGGGCAGCGCAGCGGCGCGCAGGCCACCAGCCGCACCGCGCTGAGCGCCGCGTCCTCGAAGAGCACCTCGTGCGCGAAGTAGCCTGGGCCAAGATCTAACCTCTCCCTCGGTTTCGTTTTGGTCTTCTCCCCCTTCTCCCCTTCTCCCCTTTTCTTTTTGCTTTGCTCTTGCCTTTCCTCTCTCTGAAAAGGAGCATCTTGAGCTTCAGAGGCTCAGGAGCTCTCCCAAGTTTTCTTTTGGCCAAGTTTTTCTGGGTTTCCGCTAAACATTTCGGGATTTCAGTTGAGTTGCTTTTTTTGGTTTGCCAAGCGACATAGAAAGGTGGCTTGGGTGCCGAGGTTGCTGTCTGACGAGGACTGAAGCTCTGAGCGCGCCGTCTTGCAACCCTCCGAATTGGCGATGGACTCAACGATGTGCTGGCAAAACAGGGAACTCACATTCCGCTTACCCAATAGGGTTGAAGCATGCATGGGATGCCGTGTTCCAAAGACTTGGCCTGCCACTTTCTCAGAAATCCAGGGTTGCTTCAGGTGTTTCCCCCGAGTCAGCGGACATCCGCAGCACAGACAGAGGGCGTCTAAGGTGCTGCAAAATCCTGTTTACCGTTTTGATAGAACCCCTTCACAAGACACCCACGTTTCATTTTTTCATTTGTTTTTTTTAAACGACTTTTGGTTCCTGTACACCCTTTGGGTTCTCCTTACCCGACGCAACCCGCCTGCGGCCTGCAGCGGCGGCTCGTTGCCGCCGGGGCAGTGCAAGCCCGAGGTGCACGCCTCGCAGGCCGCGGTGGTCCTGAGCGTGTGATTGTTGCTGGGTGGATGCCCTCACCGCAGTGAGAAAATATCTATCTATCTATACACCACTTTAAGCACTACAAAAACAAGGATGACTAATGCAAAACTGTCCTTTGTGACGGAAAACTCGTAGTTTGATTTCGTTCGATGTCGAGAGCCGTGAGCAATAAAACCGGCTGGGATGGGGTATGGTAACCATACATTTTTATTGTGAACACATGCTGATTTTTTCTCGCCGGGAAGACGGGGCACCATATGTACGCATAAATGTGCAAATACATGGACATGTATGTATATGTAATAGGTGTGTGACTGCGGCGATGTATGTTCATTCATACAATCCATGAATGCAAGTAGGCATACAAAAGATACAATTATACACAGACACAGCAGTATGACTAGACTCTGAAGTCAGATCCATCTCTCTTAGGAGGGGGTAAAAAAAAAATATATATATATATATACGCCCTTTTTGCATGCCTGATGACACAAGGGAATCCAATCGTCAATTTGTCAAGCTAGAGTAGCCAACTGATGGGGCATGCTAGATCCACTTAGACCAGGCCCAGCCAAAAAAATGTCCCCTTCGGCGCAAGGGAAGCCCGCCTTTTTCGGCTGGCACATGGGCCTGACTCGTCAAAGCCGGGATCTGGACCCCAAATATGGTTTTCGCTTTTGCTTTTGGTTTCCCTTTCAACCAACCTGAAGAAGGTATCGAGCCGAAACTTAAACCCACAAAGTCAAAACTTAACCTTCTTCCATTTGCTTAAGCCCCCTGGAAGAAATAAGCATATTTCCAGTGATAGATTCCCTAGAAAACCAACAGGGGAGAACCTTAGGTAAAAAGAACCGAACTGGACAAGGGAAAGCCCCAAAACCCCAAAAGGTTGTGGGACCTTAGGTAAACAAACCAAACTGGACCGACAACCAGGTTGAAAACCCAACATCGCCCCCGCGCCTCTTGATGAGGAAGGTGCTTTGCGGGCATCGGCAGAGGCTGTCGGAGGTCGCGCCCAACTCCAAGGTGGTGGCGTTGCGGATGGACTCCGCGCAAGCCACGCAGCCGCTGGCGCCCCAGGCGCTCTGCCATCTGCCTGTCAGTACCGAACAACTCCGCGGAATTTGCGTGGAAATTGCACTGAGGTTCGGAATTGGCCGTGTTTTGCGGGGCATCTTGTTGATTTTCTTTTGCCGGTTTCCTATTGCCGGTGTACCTATTGCGCCTTGTTGGCCTTGGCCAACGCAGCTGAAGCTGCTTTCAAGCTTGATTTGTGGTTCACGGAAAACACCGCGAACATAGCTGTCTGGACGTATGGAACTCTTGCGGGTTGCCACATCTCACGCAACCCAGGAGAATGGAGTGCGCACTCGGTCACAAAGCTTGGCGCAAGAAGAAATCTCCATGGGATGCCGCATGTGGAAGTTGGAGCCTGTGCTATTCTTTTTTAAAACCGGGACAGTGATGCCCAGGCCCATCCCGCCTCCCCCGCGCCCTTGCAAAATTAACGGGTGTCATGCAAATTGTCGCATCACCGAAAAGGGCGCTTTCAGGATCTACACTTTGCACCTTAAATGCCAGCCGCTCAAGTGCTTTCAAAAACATTGTTAACATCACATATTCCATTGCTTTGCGCTTGATTTTTCGCAGTCGGACATATCTGGGTCAATCTGCTAAATCCAGAACACTTAGTCGGGGAAGCATTGCCATCCTTAGCAACCCTAGGTAGGCAGGTCTCGGAGCATGCATGCATGCATGCAGGCCTTTCTGTGTGTCTGTCTGTCTCTCCGCCCGTCCGTCCACGTGTGTCTGTGGGCGCGTGCATGCGTGCGTGCATGCACGTGTGTAAGTACGCAAGTACGTGTGTATGTATGCATAAGTTTGTAAATACATATGCATGCATATGTAAGCATGTAATGTAATGTAGTTGAATGTACCGCATGTGTCCATATATCTTTGCATTTAGAATCTATCCATCTATCTGTGTATGTATGCATGTAGGAGCATGTACATGTAAAATGACCCAGCACATAATTGCATGAGTACCCGCATAGAGCAGATACATGTGGATGGTTGCAATCATATACACATACGACACACACACACACACATCCTTATGCACCTGTATCTCTGTCTGTTTGTGTATATATTTATATTCGGCATAGGCATGCATTTTTGGACTATGCTTCTGTATGTAAATAAAGATAACCAGATGAAAAAACAAATGCGCAAATCAATAAACACAAACATACGTAAATCACAACCTATATGCATAATCAAAGGAAGTTTAGAAGGAACTTCCGTGTTACGGCAACTAATTGAAAGCTAGCTCTCCGAGACAAATGACCAGAGAAGGAAAAAGACCGCGAGAAAAAAAATGCGCGCGCGTGTGGCAGATTTCGTGGCAGGCGCAGCACTTTCGCAAGATCAAGTACACATTTTGTGACAGGCGCAGCACTTTCACAAGGTCAAGTATATATTTCGTGGCAGGCGCAGCGCTTTCGCAAGGTCAAGTACAGATTTCGTGGCAGGGGCAGCATTTTTCACAAGGTCAAGTACAGATTTCGTGGCAGCGGCAGCATTTTCGCAAGGTGAAGCGCAGATTCGTGGCAGGGGCAAGGTGAAGTGCAGATTTCGTGGCAGGGGCAGCATTTTCGCAAGGTGATGTGCAGATTTTGTGGCAGGGGCAGCATTTTTCAGATTTCGTGGCAGGCGCCGCACTTTTGCAAGGTCAACTACAGATTCGTGGCAGGGGCATCACTTTCGCAAGGTCAAGTACAGATAGAGAGCTAGATAGATAGATCAATAGATGCAGAGAAGTAAATGAATGTCACGGTGCAGACTGTGGAGCTCCCAGAAACACACATTTTCCCCCCGTGACCGAGCGAGTGGCAAAATCCAAAATGAGGGCGGGCAGAGCTCCGAACACAGCCTCATGGCTGTGTCAGCTTTCTGCCGGCCCTCACCGGATAAAGGGTATTTTCATACCCCCTGTTCCATAACGGCTTGGGACAAGTGTGGACAAGAGCCTTGCACGTGGTGCAAAAGAGAGACTGGGGAAAAGGACCCGGCACCCCCGAGTCCTCTTCCCAGGTCTCTCTTTCACTCATGCGTGACGGCAGATGGCTTCCACCCCGGAAAGTGAAACCCGGCCCGATCGTTTGCAGTGCTTTGATGGACTCGCAGCACTGAAGCTGAAAGGCATCCGTTGTGGACATGTCGCTGAGGTGCTTCGCCGGCGCCAGACCCTCTGGTGTCTCTGCCCCCCGCCCTCCGGTAGGACAGCCAGGCCATGTGCAGCTCGCGGCTGTGTAGCGTGTTCAAGCTAGCTTCTCGCCCCGCAACCAGGTTCAAGAACTTGCGGGCCCCAGGCCCAGTCAGGGACCACTGGGAGTCCTCTTTGAGGAGCAACTTGGGGACGCGGGAACGGGTGTAGATGCGAAAGATGTTCTTGGCGCACAGGGCGCCGACACTTTGCAGACCCTTCGCCAGAAACTCCTTCAGCAACAAGCGAGATGTGCATCCAGCCTGGTCTCGCAGGGGAAGTTGTCCAGCATATGCTGAAACGAAGAAGTTCTGTTCGCGCAGCCACTCTTTGATCTTCTTCTGCAAAATGAGCTGCTTCACCCGCCCCCAAATGCTGAAGACAACGCGCTTGGCGCCTCCGACTTGGCCACCAGTAATTCTGCCGCGCCCCGCAGCGTCCTTGACCCGAGGACATCGCTCAAGTTATCCTGAACCACCTGCGCAGCTGAAAAGCTGCAAAAGATAGCCAGCAGGACGGAAATGGAAAATCGGAATCTTTTTGGCACCTGCTGAAGTATTGCGTCCTGGAGCAGGGATGTACGATCTGATGCCTTGTAGCTCCACTGGTGGCCTCTCGCCATGGAATGGACAGCATGCTGGCGCCCGTCCACATGAACTGGCAGCTGTCCAGACGGAGCGCCATTCGAGTCTTGTACTGGCTCCTGCATGTCACACCAGCTCGGATGGTCCATAGCATGAAGAAATGCTCCCAAACCGCTTCCATTTGCCCACGCACTGGCCTCAGGTCTGGCCTGGGGTTGGCATACCTTCGCTTTGGCACATCGGCCATGGCCCAGCGCTGCCACGTGTGACTTGTGTAACTACGAAATCAAAAGGAGAAAGATGCGTGATCAATCTAGGGGTCAATTGATAGATAGATAGATTGATTAGATCGATAGATAAATAGATAGATAGATAGATAGATAGAAAGATAGCTGAGATAGATACTAAAATAGAAAGAAAGACAGAGATAGATAGACAGATAGATAGATAGTTAGTTGGATAGATAGATAGATAGATGGACAGATTGATAGATAGATAGGTAGATAGATAGATAGATAGAGAGAGAGAGAGAGATACATACATAAAAAAGAGCTAGATAGATAGATAGGTAGGTAGGTAGATAGATAGATAGATAGATAGACAGACAGACAGACAGACAAGCAAATAGATAAAAAGAGAGATAGATAGATGGATAGATAGATAGATAGATAGACAGATAGATAGAGAGAGAGAACTAGATAGACAGAGATACAGATAGAACGATAGATAGATTAGATTAGATTAGATAGATAGATGGATAGATAAGAAGAGAGATAAATAGATGGATAGATAGATAGACAGATAGATAGATAGATAGATGGATAGATAGATAGATAGATTGGATAGATAGATAGATAGATAGATAGATAGATAGATAGATAAACAAGAGAGATGGACAGATGGATAGTAGATAGAGATATAGATAGATAGATAGATAAAACATATAGATAGATAGATAGATAGATAGATAGATAGATAGATAGATAGATAGATAGATAGATATATATATATAGATAGATAACTAGACAGATAGATAGATAGATAGATAGATAGATAGATAGAAAGATAGCTGAGATAGATACTAAAATCGACAGATAGACAGAGATATATAGATAGATAGATAGATAGATAGTTAGTTGGATAGATAGAGAGAAAGATACATACATAAAAAAAGAGATAGATAGATAGATAGGTAGATAGATAGATAGATAGATAGATAGATAGAGAGACAGAGAGAGATAGATAGATCGATGGATAGATAGATAGATAGATGGATAGATAGATAGATAGATAGATAGACAGATAGATAGACAGACAAACAAACAGATAGATAAACAGAGATAGATAGATAGATGGATAGATAGATAGATAGATAGACAGATAGATAGAGAGACAAATAGATAGATAGATAACACACATAGATAGATAAATAGATAGATAGATATATATATATATATAGATAGATATATAGCATAGCATAGCATAGCATAGCATAGCATAGCATGGCATAGCATAGCATAGCATAGCATAGCATAGCATAGACAGAGATATAGATATATAGTTAGCTAAATAGATAGATAGATAGATAGATAGATAGATAGACAGATAGATAGATAGATAGATAGATAGACAGAGATATAGATAGATAGATAGATAGAGAGAGAGAGAGAGAGAAAATAGACAGATGGATAGATAGCTGCCACACCAAGCAAAAGAAGGAAAGAACAGAAAGAAAAGAAAGAACAAAGACAGAAAGAAGGAACGAAAGAGAAAAAGAAGGGAGGAAGGCAAGGAAACAAAAAGAACATATAGAATGACGAAGAACAACAGAAACAATGAAGAGGAAGAAGAAGAAAACAAGAATCAAGAAAAGAAAGAGAAAAGGAAGTATAGCTGTATATTTATTTTTGAAGCTTCCGCCCACCGCCTTCGCCGGCTATACTGGTAAATATAATATCTCTTCATGTATCCGTCGTGCCGGCCTCGTGGGCAGGTCTCGCATATTTCGACGCTCTGCAGGGCAAAGGTGCCCGGGCGGCAGGGCCGGCACTGCTCCTGAAACTGAAGGATCAGAGATTGAGTTTGGTTTGTCTCTGACCCCCGAAACTCGCAGATGGGCTACCCCCGAAACTCGCAGATCCAGTGGCTTACACTTGGGTACCAAAGGCGTGGCAAACAGTTTGTGCAACAACTCAGGAAGTGAGCCAAGCAAAAGGCAGATCACATTTCGTAGGTTGACAAAAATAACAAAACATGCGTCTAAAAGGTCTAAGCGGCCAAGGTCACATCAAAGAGCCGCCAGGGTTCGGGTTGGGGGATTCTTTAAAGTTGCCGTTGGGAGTTGGCTTGTTGATTCCTTTCTCATGTTTTGCTTGGGGCCTTTGCCATGTTGTTCATCTTTTCGTCGCCGCCCTTTTTGAAAGCTAGTGCTTCTTTTGTGGGGGGACCCGTTTGTGTCATTTGTTTCGAAGGTGCGCCCTTCGCTGTCGGGCAGGGGCTCGTCTGTCTTCCTCTGCCCTCAACTTTTCAAGAGCTCTTTGTTTTGGGGGACCCTTTTGTGTTTTTCCCTTTTTATTGGGTGTGTTTGTGCACTTGTGTGAAGGTTCTTTCTCGTGTGGCATTTCTTTTTCTTGGGGGAGAGGGCAGGGAGGAGGGGGGCAATCCTTCCTTGAAGAAACCATCTTGCTGCACCTTGAACCCCATTTAGAGGGTAGTTTTGAGGATATCACTTCAATGGTCCAGGAGTTTAGAGTGGTTTCCTGGGGAAGGAATTCGTATTCAGGGAACCTCTTGCGAATTCCTTTTAGGTTAGAACCCCTTTTGGGTTAGTTTGGGGCTGGAGGGATGGGAGCGCCATAGTGCCTTCTATGATTGCAAAGGGGGTAGCCCTTGTGAGACTTGCTTTGTGCGGAACACGAGATGCATCCATGTGGGTTTTCGCTATGGATCACATCCTCCCCCTCTTTGAACCAATCCTGCAATTCCTCTTCAGCAGCACTTGTTTGCGGTCACAAACCTGAACTCAGGAATCCTTCAAGCACCTTTCGTGTCGTCTCGCGCGTGGTATTCCCACTCTTCACCGAGCCTCAAACAAATCGGGCGCCCCTTGTGGGTCAAAGACGTCCGGACGTCGAAAAGACGTCCAACTTGACCCCGCCTGATCCAGGTACTGGCCTGGTCCGCAGCCCTCAGAGCGGACGCGGGGAAAAGGAGCCAAAGAAAGAGTCGGGGGACATGTGGCTCAAAAATGCGTGCCCAAAATGGAACCCGGAAAATGGAAATAAGGACCAACGCAGCGGTCCCCTAGTGGTTTAATTTTGACCCATGCCCATATCAGGATGTGGAGAAGAAAGTAAAAGGAAGACAGTCAAAAGGGGTGTAATAAAATAGTGGAAAGGAACATGAAAGGAGAACCAAGCAGGTTAAATCGAAAAGAAGAGGACCTGTGAGCGTGACCGAGGACGTACAAAGGAAGTGAACAGGAGGTAAAAGGATCTACAAGGGTGTAACAAAGGAAGTGACAAGGGAGCAAAAAGGAAGGAACAGGTAGTAAAGATAGTAAACAATAAGCAACGGGGAAAGGGAAGCAAAAGGAAGTAAATACAAAGTACGAGGGAGTTAGCGGGTAGTGAAGGAAGTAAATAGGAAGTAAAAGGACGCACAAGGGAATTGGAAATAGCTAGCCAGAAGGCAAAGGAAGGTAAAAAAAGCAAGTGGGGAGAAAAGAAATACAAAGTACGAGTGAGTTAGAGGGTAGTGAAGGAAGTAAATAGGAAGTAAAAGGACGCACAAGGGAATTGGAAATAGCTAGCCAGAAGGCAAAGGAAGGTAACAAAAAACAAGTAGGGAGAAAAGAAAGCGCATGAGTCGTAAAGGGCAGTGAAGACACACGACAAATTAAAGGACCAGGCTTGGTTGATATTCCATGGTTGTGGTTTGGGAAAATCACTCTCTGTGACAGCAAAGTGGTCTACCCCTATGACTACTTTGTCACTCTCAAGACAAATCGCCTTGTTACCAACAAAAGACTTGCAGGAACCTCCATGGGCGAGGGTCAGCAACAAGTCGTACACATTTGCAATCCCTGCAGATTAACGTAGGACCCCCAAACCCATCTTTAGAGGAATCTCCTTCTTGGGTTTTTTTCCATCGGTTTGCAAGGGAGTACTTTCCCAAGTTTCACCTTCTTCTTTTCCCGGGCCTGGCAAGTGACCTGTCCAGGCGACAGGGTGGTGCCTGGTGCACATTGCAAGATCTCCAGCAACCCATCGCCGAAGGCTGGGAAGGAGGTGGCTTGTGCGTCCCGGAGGTTTCCGGCCTCGCTCAAAGTGACCTCGCGCGGACTCGCGAGCATTGCACGTGGCCGGCATTTGCCTTTGTAAGGTTCTCTGGATCACGGAACCCCAAAAAGCAATTCACCCAATAGAACCCTTCCTCAAAGCCATGTAGCCCACATGGTAGGGCAAGCCTTGACAGTCTTCTCAGCTTTTGGGAAGAATCCGAATGAACCTACTGGCCTTACTGTTTACTACTCTCACTTTTGGAATCCTTGTATGTCCCCCTTCAAACATCACCCCACCCGGAGAAGAGTCACATCGCAAAGGAAGGTTACAAAAGCTACAAAACCCTCGTCTTGACGCTCGAGCGGTGGTCGAAAAAGAACGACCAGGAACACCGACTTTAGCAAGCCCTTCAAACAGTCCCAAGAATGGGACCGAACATCAAGCCGAAGAAAACAACAAAACGAGCGAGCGGAATCTCGGCGGTTCATCGAATCACCTGTTCAATCACCTCATCTCATTCAACCCATCCTTGTGGGTTTTCCAGACCATTGGGCCAACCCCTTCTCTCGCTTTCGCTTTTTGGGGCTTTACGGATCGATAACTTTAACCAAAACGGCCCTTGAGGGGACCCTTCGGTTGATGACAATTTGAGCGTGGCTCAAATTAAGAGCTCAAATCCCGCAAGGTTTAGTCTTTCTTTGTTTCCATCCCAAGTGCCTGAAGCCATTAACAGCAAAGCAGAACCACTGGGCTGAAAGTTGCCCCATCAACAGACCCAACACCCAGCTTTCCCGGCCTTGGCGTCCTCGCGTATCCGCACGGAGGGCCGCACCAACAAACGCACTGCTTTGCCCTCCACGCCTTCCCAAGTCACGTCCAGCACGTCTGCCTCAGTGCGCTCCAGCAGGTATTCTCAACGAACACGCACTTTCAATACACTTAATTACCTGGTAATTTTCAGCGGCAATTGCCAATTGAACGGGAGGCGTTCAACTTTCCAAAAGATGGTCTCCACAACCAAGCCACTACTCCCAACAAGGAACGGGGTGTACCCCCAGACTCCTAGAGGTTTGGGGTGTGGACCCAAATGAAAGACCCCTAGAGGTTTTGATGTCCCGTTTCAGCAAACCTTCGAGGTCACTGTCGACGGATTTGAGGGTTCATAAAGCCTGGGAACAACTTGCGTGAAGGAACACCGAAACCATGTGCCCAAAACTCTTTCGACATAAGGATCCCAACTTGCCTATGTCCCTTTTGATCCAAGAACCCCAAGCCGCTGAAAAGTGCGGGGGGTCACCAGGCACGTACCCCTCAATGCGGGTTCCGAAAAGGAACGCGATCGGGTGCTTCGTCTAGGTCCAGGTTAGAACAAGGCCATTTTTTTTTGAAGTCTATTTTAGTAGGGGAACCGAATCTCCCAACCAAAAAAGAAACGGGTGAGAAAGGTTGCACCAATTGCTGGGGGACCTAGTAGGTTCGGATCTATTCCATGCGGTGACCCGCGAAGCGCTCGGTCCCGTCGCCTTGTCCAGGCCGGAGACCTGCACCAATTGCTCCCGCACAGCCGTCGGGGAGGGCTGGTTGGTGGCCTGCCGTTGAAAGCTGAATCTGCGGGGCCTTGAAGCATCCAAGTAGAACCTACTGATGGTGACTTGCGAAATCCATTCCGCTTCTCGCGCCACGAAATGAAACCATGGTTGAGACCATGGTTGGTTGGTATTTACAGGGGAATCAACATTCCAACGTTTCTTAGGTGGAGCGAAATGGATTCTGTCCATCCACAGTACGGCCAAGGGTTTTGGGTGCTCGGCACAACCCCATAAAGCCCTCCAGGGTAAACCATCCAAGGTCCGTCAAAGCTTCATTTGGCCATTGCCTTCATGAGGCAAACAACTCTTGATTCACCTGGAACCCAGAAAGCCATCCTTTTGAGCGGAATATCCTTTGGGGCGCTTTCTCCTTCAGCGTGGCCAGAGAATAACCCAAAGTCGTCGCGGTGTGTCGGCCCTGTTTGGCCAGTAAGCGTGCAAAGAACCATTGAGCTGCTTCTGATTGCCAGAGTCAAAAATCAGGTGTTTCCTAACGGCATCGAACACGGAAAATCACAATTCTTCCTGTGATACCAAGATCATTCCTCAAAATGGGGATTTCTTGGGTATCACAGAACGTCGTAAACTAAAACGCAATTGTTCACAATCATGACTTTGAACGATGTTGTTCATTCACATTTACGTGGCGTGTGGTCCAATCACGGCCAGCCCACGTTACTACGCAAGCATGTTGAAATACGCAAGCATGTTGAAATGTCGATGTTGATGGCCATGCCAACCCCCAGAGAGTGACAATCAACACCTGGTATTGCAGTGGACCCAAAACCATGGTGAAGAACCAAAGGGCGGATATGCACGTCAAAATATATTGGTTGCTGGCCCTTAACCTACTCAACTGGGTTCTGATTTGAGGTGGCTTCGATCGCCGGTCGCCTGGTTGAAAACCAGTCGCAGCTGGTGGGGCATCGGCAAATACTGGAAGGCCACCAACTGCGGCCCCAGCGGGAAGATGTGGAGAATCAGCAGCCTGGGATTTGAGAGCCCTGAGTTGGGCTAGTCCTCCAATCAAACTTTTTGGAGTGAACCATGGATGGGGCACCTGTTCAAAAAAAAAGACCGATGAAGATAAACAATGCAGAAATGAGGAAAGCTAGCAAAGACACAACTAGGTCCTCCAGTACAGAGGTTAGAATAAGGGTACCCTTCTTTTCTGTAGTCTATTTTGGTTGGGGAACCCTCCCCTACTAGAGGGAAAAAGGGCACCTCTGGGGGACCTAGACAACCGACCCAAACCACGCCGGGTCGCCCGAAGCCTGTGGCCTCTGAGGCGCACGCGCCGTGGCTGTCGCAGGTGTCGTAGTGGATCTCCACGTCGCGGCGACCCCCCAGGGCATCGCAGAACCTGGAGCTTGGAACCCACCCATTTGATATGACCAAGGATCAACCAGGTAGAAAGAAAGAATGTAAGAACGAAACAGAGAGTGAAATAGAAACAATCTTTAAAACAAGCATATGACAGAACCCGTCGATGTTTCCTTTGGGTCAAACAATGCAGGGACTTCTCCATGCCTTTGGGGGGGAGTGGGGGGGAGTGGCACCCTTTGAAGGGGCAGTGGCACCCTTTCCTCTGTGAGAACTAACGTGTTTTGCACGAGTACGTTTATTAACCAGGCGGCACAACCATTCATGGATGACTTCAATGATATTTTGCCCCTACAAATCTCGTGCCTCAGCGTTTGGCCCACCAGCGAGGCGTTCGCGGGGTAGGCGGTTCGAAGCCGGAAGTCCAAGGTGTCGCCGTCCGCATCAGAGCCATGCAACTGCACCTGGCCAGATCTCGTTTAAGAGTTCCATAGGGCACAAAGGGGCGGTGCCTGTGCTGCTTGGAGGGAACGCCGCTGGGCAACTGGGAAGATGCAGCTTCCGGGAGGGGAAGGCAGGGCCCCAACTTCTATTTAGCTGCAAGAAGTCTTCGGCTACCAGCTTGTCGGCCACTTCCCGAAAGGAGAACACACTGAAAGGAGGGAACATCGGCGGCTTGTTCGCGATAGCAAAAGTGAGGGATCTTCGCGCTTCGCAGGAGGCTCCTTATATGCGCCTTGCCGACATGGGTGTTTGCCCATCATCAGTTTCAGTGTAACTTTTGTGTCCCTTCACCATGAGGCTCCGTATGAGACATGGGACACTGGGATCTGTGCCTTGGCTGGTGTTGACAGGTCCTTATGCTTCCTTTTTGAGCGCTCAAGCGCACCGCCATTTGGGTCAATGTCTACTTATTTCTCCTTGGTCTTTGACTTCCCAGCGAGTTGCTCATGTTTTGCTAGGTGTTTGGAAACTGTCATTTTCGACACGTTCAGCCGATTGCACATTTCTACCAGAGGCTAAAGGTCAAAAACCAAGAGAAAGGGGAAACAGAAGCCGCAAGGACACTCTTCGACGCGCTTCCCGAAGTCTTGCCTTTGGGCAAAAATGGAAGTCCTCATGTTTCCCGCGTGATTTCGGCACACCTTTGGTGACAGGCACCGACTCCAAACTCACAAAGCCTACGGAAAGACGACGGACCACCGGAGTGGCAGGGCTTCCCTCAAAGACCAGAACGACAAATGGGTATCGTTCCAGACAAGGTCTCTTGGGTTCCCAGAGATTTCCACTGAACACAACGGCGACCCGGCAGCTCATGTTGAAAGCCAGCAATATCTGCCTTGTTTTTAATCCATTTTTTTCTTCTTTTAACGCCTCTAAAAAAGTCTGCCTGCAAAACGCCTGACAAATCTGCCCGTAAAAAAACCGCTGAACACCAACCCTCTGCACCTCCGCGCAGCTCTTCTCAGGCATGGCGCAGCGCACCACCGCACCCGCGATGGGAAAGGGCGAGGGCACGTGCGCGGGTTCGGAGCCTCGAACGCCGAAGGATGCGACGGCACCAGGGACAACCAGGGTGTGTGGAATCTCCCCCTTTTTGGCGGTTTTCCGTGAAAACCAAGAGGACAACCACCATTTTGGGCGTGCCTGGCAAAAAGACACCCCATGTTTCTGGGCAATTACTCTTGTGCTTCATAGAACACATAAGACATCTCAAGGAAAGGAACAAAAGAACGAGTGAGCTGGCTTTACACCCAGGCGAGCTTGTTGTGATTCAGCCAAACATGTTGACGGCTCATGTTTGATGAAGTTCATGCGTGCCACCTTTTGGAGGATACCCTCCAACAAGCATGGTTTGGTGCACAGGCAGGTGTAGGCGAGACTAGGACTAGGACAAAATGTGGATTGATTGGGAGAAGCCTGGGAGAGAGGGGGTCAAGGCGTGCTTCCCCAAAAATGACCTGGACGCCCTCCCAGAACACCTGCGAAACAAAATGAAGCACGAAACTTCCTCTGGGTCAACACTGGTTTGGTCTGAGTTGATTGAAGGGACATCCTCGAAACTACTCTCTAAACCGGAAAGCGTACCGGAAAGCGTAGCACAACATCGCAGACAATGGCTCTCCCTCTTCCCCGTCCAACTTGGTGGCGTCCCTTTCTCGCAAGCACCAAGGACAGGTTCGAAACTGGGTTTTGATTGGAACTCCCTAAAAGATGAGAACACACAGGTCGTGGAGCTTTTTCCATGACACTGAGAAAACTTCAAAGGGACGCCCACCCAACCGAAGAACAACTTCTAACCAATGAGCAAGCCGAAAAGTCAAGAAAAAGGCGAACGTATGATCCGCCCCCTCACGTCGGAGAGTGGGCTGTCTGGGTACCCAACCGAAGCAACTATGCCTGCCTGTAGTGTCTATACCATATGGGTATGCAACAAAATAGACTTTCTGGCCCCCAACGTGGCTTCGGTTTTCCTTTGGCCCCCCTTCAAAACCACAAAAAAAGGGTCGCCTCAAAATGCGCTCGTAGCCCCCTGCTAAAAGTTCAACTTCTAGTGGGTTACATGGAAACTACCACTAAACCCACAAAACCTAGTAAGGAACCGGACGGCTGGGAGGCAAGAAAAAAAAACACTTCCCCTTTTTAGGGCTTGTTTTCCAATTTTTCGCAGCCTCTAGGGCTCCACGCCGATCCAGGAGTTGAGGGGAAACCGCGCGAGAGCCGCTTCATCCACACGGCGGTTGTCCTCCACCAGAATCCGCCCCAAGGGACTGCGTTTAACTTGACTCAGTGGTTTGGACAAAGACCGTTTGGATTTGCAGTTTGACACCAAAGTGGACTTGTTGGGATAAACATTTTTGTGACCACTTTTGAGGTGTTAACCAACATGTCGACGATACTTGCGCGAATGTCTGGGTTACTCTTAGACCCCCTTCACAAGAGTGAAATCGATTGCTGGTGCGAGTGCTTTGGTTTACACCTCTAGGGGGGTTGTCTTCCATTCCTACCATCTTCATGCCGTTTTGATGTCGGAGTCTCCCGGAGAAATCCCATGACGTTCCCACGGAAGCTGCAGAATTTGAGTTGGGGAAACCTGCTTCATGTGCCCAGATTCAACCCACTATTGATTCAAAGCCCTGAGCCGTAGGATCGGTTATGACCCTCAATCTTGCATGTCCTCAAATGGTCACTAACATCTACACAACCGTCCCCTTCAAGCGCATTCAGCAGCGGAGGCTGCACAGAGTTCCCTAAATTACCCAAGTTGGTGGCTTTTCACATCACTGTTTGGCTACCAATTGGAGGAAACAAAGGAAACAACATACTTGAGCTTGCTCAAAATCCGTTCTCTTTTTATCCCCTACAACTGCTCATTCCCGGAGGGAGGCAAGGACTTCATGTCAGCTCCCTAACTGTTCATCTGGCCCCTGCTTGCTTTTGGGTAAATGTGTCCCAACAAAACCAAGTCAGATGTGCAACCAGCAGGCCTACCATTGTTCAAAGAACGACTCCGGAGAAATTAGGGTTCCAGAGAATTCACGGCCCAATGGGGCCTGACTTCGACCTGGCCGAAAGCACAAGGCCTCCGTGGAACTTCGAGCTGTACTTCCTTGGGTCTCCATACGGCACCTTTTTGGCGCAAGTTATGAGCATTGAATTCCCTTCAATCCATGGCTCATTGAAAATCAACTGGGCCTGCCCGTGAAAAGCTAGGCTTTCTCTTATGCCGATTGGATAGCGAAAACTTAGGTTTCACTGTTGAAGGCGTGCATTCGCAGTTTGCTCAGCCCTTTGCTTCGAGGGCGATTGCAATAGCGCGACTGCTGGACATCGTGAGATGTGAGGCGGGGGCTTTTCGCGGAGGCGGTGTAGGACAGGAGTGTCTGTCACTCTCCGCAGGATCCGGGAGAAAAGAACAAACTGAGCCGCAAAGACAGAGAAGCAGAAGTGCCAAGGAAAGAAGACAGCGAAACGCCCCAGAGAGCGTGCACGGGGTGCAGAGGCAGTCAGACAGCAAACCGCAAAGGGTATTCCGAGCAAAGGTCAAGGACAGGGTCCGCGCCTGGCAAGCATTGTGAAAAGTGGAAATCCCCCAAGCCGAGAGAGCTGCGAAACACGACAAGCAAGATGTGAAGCGAATGAGAAACAAACCGAAAAGCCAGCAAGCAGCAAAGCGAAACAAGATCAGGAAGGAAAAACGCGGCAAGCATGAGCCTAACGGCTGGAGGCACGAAGGCGCATCCTGTTCTGTTTTGGGACCGAATAAGGCTGAAAGATGTGGGGGCAAAAGACCAGCTCCCGGCACTTCCTTTCAGGGGTCCTCCTTAAATGACACATGTTGACCCCAGATTGTCCTATTGGGGGCGTTTCCTCCAAAAGTGAAGGGTTCCCATGCAGAGGGGACACCGCCCCAACCCAAATCAACCAGCGGTTCTACGATCAGGGGTTCCCGTCACAAATGGGCCATTGGAAGTCCTCATTGAAGTCGAAGCATGCGGCACTGCTGTTCATCAACCGCCGGACAGTGCATGCGTCTTGATCGTCCGCGTCGAAGGTGTAATGCAGCATCAGCGCCTTCGACTGAAACCCCAGAAGGGTTGTCTCTACGACGCTTGCGCCTTCACCGAACGCCTTAAACTGCCAAGTGTTGCCACGCGATCTGATCGCCAATCCAACAAAAACTGCCGTCGCGAAAAGCGCGCGCGTCCGCGCCAATGGGCCGAGGTCCGAGCCCGTTCCGAGTCCGTCCTCCGCCAGGCGTTGCGACCGAGGCAGCCCGCCAGAGATGCCAACACTCGCAGAGGATCCCTCTGTTTTGCGATTTCTTTTCCCCCGCCACAAGCCCACGCATGTTTTCTTGCACGCCTTTATTCTTTCTTCAGCTTCTTTGTGCGCAAGACTACCTTGAATTAGTGTCCGTAAACACGGAAGTTCTTTCTACGATTTCTGTGACAACGCTATTTCCACGGTTCTGAGCTGTTGGAACAAGGTGCCCTGGCCCTTCGGTTCCCGAAAAAGACCTAAAATAATGACTGCCTAAAAAAGGGTACCTTCCAAACACGCCAAGATGGGTATGCCCATCCGAACCCCGTGGGCGCTGAAACCCCTGGAGAACACACACACACACACTCAACCACCAGAATTTTTTGGTTGCCCCGAATGAGATTCGGGGGACCCCTAGGCCTTGGGGTTTGGATGTCAATTGGGACATCGAACCCAGGAAGCTTGGCTTGGAGCGAAGCAGTCGTGGCACCAACAAAATTTAGGCGCTTGCCCAGCGCTTTTTCTTCCTCATTTTTTTGAAGCACATGACGCGAGTCAATGTCAAGCTTCACCAACCAGTCGGAGATGCCGGAAACTTAAGCTTGGATCCACTCAAGAAACAGAGCCGGAAAAAAAGGGGAAAAAACACATAAACAATGAAAAAAACAACAACAACAACAAACACAAAGTGCAACCCGTGCCAAGCATGAATAGCCCTCACTAAATCCAAGTCAGAAGGGCCAAAGAAACACGACCAAAAGCATCAGCTGCAAACAAGCAAAACACCCCTCTCCCAAAAACAACCGACAACAACAACTAAAGCTCTTACGCCAATTGGGGCAACAACACAACGATTCAACAACACGGCACACGCAAAACTAAGTACGCCCAGCAAAACAGAACCCAACAAGCAACAACTACCCCACTTAAGAATCAAGATAACCAACTCAAGTAGACAAACTCTAAACCCCCACTCGAAATTAACCGAACCAACAACATGCCAACACTGACGCCACCACCACCACAAAATAGCATTGGAGCCAACCAAGCAACAACAACTCAAAATCAAGAACCAAAAAAGAGGGACAACTAAGACGCCCACCAAAATGAACAGCGCACACATCACGCAGACCTCCCCCCAAAATCAAAATAAACATGACGGCAGCAACAAACACGCAACCCCTTCACCAAATTTCAACAGAGCCAAACAGGCAATCACAAGACCCCCTCCACCGACATTTGATAGAACCAATAAAGCAACATCTAGAACCGTCACTAAACAGTGAACAGAAACACGAGCAAACAGTACACACCGCAATGCCAGTGAATTGACAAGTAACAGGAGGCAAGAACCCAGGGCCCTTTGATTGAAATTCGTGAGCCACCATCTTGGCTCCGCTTTCCCGTCAGCTGCTGTCTTGGAACCCCAAACAGGTGATGTTACCTTGGCTTCCTGTCAAAACAAGCCCAAAGTCCAGCCAGCCAAGGACTTGTCTCAGACCAGCCGAGCTCAACCCAGGGCGCGCCTGGGGCCGCACAGACGACGGGTTGCTTACGAGGTCGGCCATCTCCTGCTCGCTGAGGAAGGCGTTGAAGAGCCGCACGTCGTCGAAGGTGGCGCGGAGGAAGTTGGAGGGGGTCACCGCCATCTGAAATTCCGATTCGACTCCACCAGTTTTTCCATCTAAACGGATGAACAACCGCCTTTTAAGGCGGAAAAGGAAAAGACAACAACTACAAATTCACTCACTTGGGTGCCTGAACACGTTTGGAGAAGATGCTTTTCCTCAAAGGGTGATCTCATCCGCCAGAGCAACAGCCTGCTCTGATCCGCACGCTTTCTTTGCCCGGGGGAAAATCGGGGGAGCACTTCGCTTCAAGAAATCAATTTTCACTTCAACAAAAAAGGCGGTTCCTTGGCTCCACTTGGTGAGATGAATGGTGAAACACCAGCGCACTGGTATCAACTATTGGCGAACTGTCGTGTTGTGACATGGAAAACAACTCAAGGTTTAGATGTCCCCAGTTTAAAGGAAGGTTAGGGAGACATTGAAACAATGGTGGCCAAAGCCTGTTTAAACCACCCTGACTGGTTGAACAGCCAAGGTCTGGCTGTTTGAACCAAATTTGCCCGACCCTGAAACCAAGGACTCCTGCGCAAGAAACTTGAATGATTTGACGGATGCGAAGAGCCTAATCTTCACAAGTTGTCGGAAACCTCAAGGGATCTGTGAACTGCCGCTTTCACGCTAAAGATTGAACAAGGCGTGCCACACTTGCATCGAAGTGACCATCCCAAGTTCTCAACACTCGAAGTTCCCTAGAACATGGGGAGGAAAACCTCATTCCCCTGCCCCACTTCCACCCCACCCCACCCCCCCTCACCCCACCCCCCTCACCCAGCCCCCCCCCCCTCACCCCGCCTGTAGGTCCTCATCCCATTGGCCGCCATCAAACTCCGAGCCCAGTTCCCAGGGCGTGAAGGAGAGCTCCGGGTAGTCCGCCTCGTCGTCGGGGCAGGTCGCGATGTAGTTCCGGTAGATCATCTGCCCGTTTCGGTACATCACCTAGGCGAGGAAAACAAAGGAGAGAGAACGAAACAGTGGCAAGGGGCATGGGCGAATGGAATAGGTCTGGGTGAAACACATTGGGGAGTTACTTGTGGTTGGGAAAGCTTGGTGGGATTGTTTGTGCGGGGTTGGACATCGGAAAAACAGGGAAGCCCCCCGCCCCCACATTTTTGTGTTGCTTGCCTTTCCAACACTTTCGTGTTTTTTTTTTAAAGCCGTTTTCTCGTCATTTGCCCAATCATTTGATTGCTTCTCTTGGTTAAAAACAAAAAACAACCTGCACAGATTCCCGTTCTCGGATTGAGTGGATGGCTGGAATTTAGTCCATGAGATTGTGGCCCATTGGCTCACCGGGCCTGCATTTGGCCGACATTGATTGGCATCTGAAGTTGACCTCGTGGTTGCCTGATTTTGAGGCCGAAATTTGACTTGATTTAGCAATTTAGGCTGTGGGAATGACTAGCATGACGTGTTTGGATTTGTTTGGCCTTATGGTCCCGAATTGGGACCATCGATTTGGGGAGGGACCCGGTGGGTTTGACATAGGCATGTTAAAGGTGGCGGCTTTTTTAGGGGACTCGCAACAATGGCTGCTTTTTCCCCTTCTCCCAAAAAAAGCCTACCCAAAACAAGGGTGCCCTCACAAGAAGACACACCCTATGTTGCGATGGTGTTGGCTTTCCTCACCCGATGGTAAAGATATGCACGCCATTTTGTGTGGAGGAGTCGTCTTAGGAAAATACGGTCCCTTAAGGACACATTTTCATGGCTGGAAGTGTTCGACCTCCCCGTTGTGTAAATATATAATACACGCAAGTATGTATATACATTCTTTCTCTCTGGCTCTCTCTCTCTCTCTCTTTCCCTCTACACAAATACAGAGATATGTGTATGTATGTATGTATGTCTGTATGTATGTATGTATCTATCTATCTATCTATCTATCTATGTATCTATGTATCTATGTATATATGTAAGTATGTATGTATGCATGCATGTAGATGTAGATGTAGATGCAGATGTAGATGTAGATGTAGATGTATATTAATATAGATTCTCTATATTTATATGTAGACCCACACATGTTTCTACGTCTATGTAATGTCCTTACCTCTTCTTGGTTGCACGTTTCTCCCCGATTCCGAGGCACGAGCAGGGCTTTGGCGGGTTCTTCTGCAGATCCGCGGGTGAGGCAGCGCAGGGTGAGGCCTACGTGGTGGGCTTCGATCCGTGCGTCGCGGATCTGCTTGGCAGTGAGACCCGTCTCGAAGACCAGCTGGTCGTCCTGAACGCTCGAAGAACGCGCGCGAGGCGCCAGATCAACCGGCGAATCGATTTTGTTCTTGCGGAAAAGCGGGCAAGGCCAATTGCCACGCCAGTGGTGGGAAATGAACTCAAAACCCAAACATAGGTGTCCTTTTGGATAAAAATGATGGAAATGCAGCATACCGCCTATCTAATTCAGTGGAACCCATCTATTTCTCACCAAACTATCCCAAAAAGGATATGGTCATTAGCCCCAACGCAATCGCCCGCCCAATGCCTGGGCTGAGAATAGCTTCGAATTTCTGGGTCAAATGTTTTGATCTCCTGTGAAGGCTGATCAACCCACTTGGCTCTTGCCGGGCTGCACAAGCCTCCCAATGGTTTATGTTGATACGGCCCTTTGGTGAAACACAGTCACACCTGGCTTTAACATCCCAAATTCATGCGAGGAAACAACAAGACGGCACCTACTTCTGGCTGGGACTGTGCCTGACTAACCTTCACTTAGCCGGGTTTTGAGTGCGACTCGAGTCAGAGCCAAACAAACCAGAAATACCTTTTATTGGATCGTACAAGTGAAAACCAAACTCATGACAAAACTGGAACATCATCTTTACGGGCCCGGGGGAAAAAACACAGGGGTTGCCTATCATTGTTTCCTCGGCTGAGATTTTGTGAGGGGGTTCTTTATGGTGTACAGATGAAAGCACGCCTAGGTTATCCCCTTAGCACAAAACTTCACATCTTCTCACAAACTGAATGTCCTCCTCCTCGGGCATGAAAGCGGCGTGGTTTGCCAGCTGCCCCCCGTTGCAGCTCCTGGAGAATCACCGGAAAAAGCCAAATTTGGGCCTCGAACAATTCCTGGAGGCTGGACCCCGCGCTTTTTTTTGGGGGGGGACTTCTTGGGATTGCAGGCATCTTGTCGAGAAGATCACTGTGCCTAAGGCGAAGGGGGGGAACTTATTGGGCTCCTGGGTGGAAATAACAAACATCCGTCCACTTTTGGC